ACTGATGAGTTTAAGCCATTTACATTTAGAGATTATATTGGTATACTGGCACCTACATTTGCTATTATGGTCCTTCTGTATTTTTATTCCTTGTTTTGAGCTGTTCTTGTCATTCTTCTGTTGGATTTGGTTTGAGGAATTCTAGTAGTAGTTTTTGGAGTGGGGGTTTAGTCATGACAAAATTGTGGAGTTTCTGTTTGTCTGAGAGTGTCCTTATTCTTTCTTTGCAGAGAAAGGAGAGCTTCGCGAGATAGAGTATTCTTGGTTGGCATTTAATACTTTGGAGTTTCTTGAGTATGCCCTTCCACTCTCTTCTTGCCTGTAGTGTTTCTTCAGAGAAGTCTGATGTCATCTGGATCGGTTTCCCTTTGTAGGTTATTTGCTTCTTCCCTCTTGGCATTCTCATTATCTTTTCCTTATCTTGTATTCTTGGAAGTTTTATTATAATATGCTTTTCTATTTTTCTCTTCTCATCATGGTAGTTTGGGGTTCTTCTTGCTTCTTGGATGTCTACTTTCATCTCCTTCTTCATATTAGGAAATTTCTCTTCTATTATCTTTGTGAATATTTTCTCTATTCCTTGACCTTTCTCTTCACCTTCTGGGATACCTATAACTCTGATGTTTCCTTTCCTATTGGTGTCAGATAGCTCTTGAAGTGTTTCTTCATTCCTTTTCCTTTTTACTTCTCTTTCTTTTTCTTTTTTAATTCTCTTTGTTTCTGTGTCTTCGAGGGTGCTAATTCGTTCTTCCATTTCATCTATTCTGTTTTCATTACTTTTCCCATCATTCTTTATCTCTTCTAGTGGCCTTTTCATCACCTGCATTTCTTCTATTTCCTTTTTTAATGTCTCATTGTCTTTCTTCAGTTTGTTGATTGCTTGTCTCATATTTTTTTTTCATTTCTTTTATTTCTTTCATTCAGTTCCTTGTTTGCATTCTTCAACTCCTGGATGGCTTGCCTCATTTCGTTTGTTTATCATGATGATTCTGAATTCTTTATCTGGTAGGTTGAGAAATTCTTCTATTTCTTTGGTGGTTTCTGCTGACTGATCTTTTTGTGGTGAATTTTCCCCCTGTGGTCTTGCTTGAATATTTGTTTGTCTTCTTTTCCCTGTTGTATATTTTCTTATACTTTCTATTCGCTGAGACACGGTGTTGCTATTATTT